AATTATTTATATATATATATATATATATATATATATATATATATATATATATATATATAAGGTTTATTTCAAAAACATAGATTTATGATAATAAACACACATGTCTGTTGAGAATTTAAAGGCTTTTATGTCGGGAAAACAAACATATAAACTATAATTGGTATAGTTTATGGAACTTACACATCATATTACCAAGTTCAAAATACAATACGAAAAACAAATATATAAACTATAATAGGTATAGTTTATGGAACATATGCACTATTTTACCAAGTTCACATCACAATACAGAAAAACAAATATGCACTATTTTACCAAGTTCAGATCATAATACAGAAAAACAAACATACAAAAGATAATAGGTATAGTTTATGAGATATGCATACAATTATTCATTATTAAAAGGGTTTTCAGTTCATTTAACAAAAGGGTATTACATTTTCATTTACCAAAGGACATTATATTCATTTGATAAAGGGTTTTCAGTTTATTACTCGTAAACTCGTTTAAGCAATTTGTGAGACGCCTTCAAGTACTTATCTAAGTGCCAACGAAAGTCCTAACTTATAACCAGAGTCTCTTGTAGGGAGAGCGAAATATTTGTGTATAGATCTATATGAGACTGAAAATCCCGCACCTTAACTGCTAGCTATAGTTAGGCCGACACGCCTGGGGTGAAAAATGTTGTTAACGTTTTCGACGCTTGAAGAATTTCGTGTTCAAGCCATCTTAGGTCAGAATATGGTTATAAGAACTCACATGGAGAAAACAACGACACATTTACGAAGTAATATGTTTTCAGATGGTTTCATTTGAACATTAACTTTACATTTGGTTTACAGGGCAACATACTTTCAAATAGTTTTATATAATAATAAAACTACATTACACGATTTCTCAGTACAACAAGGATTACATTTCTAGAAACATATGTTTAAAGGGATTACATACTAGTACAACTACAATATACTATTTTCCTAGTACAATGTGACTTACAATTCAGAAAGGACTATTATGGTTTATTTTATGATAACTTAGCGTATACATTAGGGTTATATATAATTAAAATCCTATAGGTATTTGAATGTGTGTTTCCGCCTTATTTCCTGATCCTTGTTTGGTTGTGGATTTAGGGCAGAATCACTCATTCGACTGTCCGTTCGATCTTGATTATATATAACTTGTATACTCTAAGTGATCATAGGAGGAAGCAGTATGGTTCACACCACTTACATAAATTAAAACTTCGAATTACAGATTACAAACATACGAAACTTATACATTTTGGTATTAAGGTATTAAGATTGCGTTATATTTACAACAGAAAATATAGGATTTTCTGGATAAACACATTTACGTTTTCAAGGAACAAAGAACATACTTTTATATACCAAATGCTTATAAACTCACCAACTTAAATGTTAACACTTTTTCAAACCACATGTATTCTCAGGAAATTTGTAGACAGATACCCTCACAGGTTTCATGAAGATGGGTCATAGTAACATCACGTTTTAACTTTTGCTATACTTTTGATGTTATCCAAACAATGTTTTGAACACAATGTAAATTATTAATATGATGATTATGTTGCTTTGATTACTCTTATTCAATTGTTGTGATACTATACATGATGTCATCAGCCCCCGAACGTTTACGTCGTTCTGGTTTGAGGGTGTGACATTAATGAATGCATGAAGCCCTTGAACCCATAAAGTTGGCACCTTTATGCCAAAAGAGCGCATGAAGATCATAGATCTAAAAGAATAAACACTTGGGACTTTTACTTCCCCAACAACCACCCATCCATGGTTAAAAGCATACAATCTAACCCGAGAATATATCTAAGCAAATATTAAACAAGGTTAGAACTTTATACCCGAAATATGCTGGAAATGGAGCATAGAATCAAGATCTGAAAGCTCTTGCTTGAACCACCACCTTACACCAAGCTTCTCTTCCTCCAATGAGCTTCAAACACACCTACAATGAGCTCACAACACTCAAGGAGGCTCTAGGGTTTCGAGATTAGGGTTAGGGATTATGGTGGCTAGGAATAAGGCCAACACCTGGGACTTAAGGTGTTTAAATAATGTGTAAAACCCTGGAATTAGGGTTTATCAATCAACGCCCAACTCGTCGAGTTCCCTTCACCAACTCGCCGAGTTGGTTGATAAATATGCGCGACCCAAAGGCCTTTAGCACATCGAGTTTCCCACCATTAACTCGACGAGTTGGTCTTTATAATAGGGGATTTATTTCACAATTAACCTTTTAGATTCCGAATGATACATGTAAATCTTGGGCTTGGCATTTATTAAAACTTGGTTAATATTTTTGGATCCACCAGACCCTCTCGATTCCTTATACCCGCTCGTCCCACCATTCGACCCGACAGAAGCCTTCATCTTTCCCTTGCCGCTTTGATATCTCCGATTTGAGGCTCCACCATGCTCAACGAATAGGGCTTGTGATTGATCTTTCTCACCACCATAAGACTCATCTTCTATGATCCTTTCTTCATATGCCTTTATCTTGCTGACTACACCATCGAAATTAGTCTTATTCAGGTCTAGTATCTGTTTTAGTGATGCTACCATATGCATGAACTTTCGTGGCAATGACTTAATGAACTCCTTTACTAGTTTGGATTTTTCGATCACAGATCCTAATGTTGTCGATTTTGAAGAAATCCTAGATAGTTTTCTGGAGAAACTGTCGATTGTCTCTAATTCGTTCATCATGAACCAGTTGAACTCGACACCTAGGCTTTGAAGGCGGGCCTCCTTCACTCGATCGACCCCAATATGTTGAGCCTTGATTACGTCCCACATCGCCTTTACATAATACACATCACCAATTTAAATAATCAAGCTCTCCGGTATAGCTTGATAAATCAACCCAATCGCCACATACTTCTTTCCTTTGTTTTCTTCTGCTCCTGGATCGATTATGGTCCAAGCCTTGTGAATTCTCAATATTACTTTCATCCTTAGTGACCTGACCGTGTAATTTGTTGAGTTCAGCATGGGACATGCTATGGTTATTGACCCAATCTCCTTCACTCTCATCACAAGTGTGCCCGGAGCACCTTCATCGTCGGGCATGGTGTCCAACTTGATCATCAGGTACGATTCTATTTCTTAAAGCTTTTGTTTTAGTCTTTGATACCAATTCAAGATGAATTGAAACACAATTAATAAAACAAACTCTTTGATTAAAAAGGAAAATAACTCAAAACCTTACAATTCACATAACCCTAACTTGGATATACAAATTGTTTATATAGAACCTAGAACCGTCTTGTCCTTAGATTACAATTAGGAAACTATGACCGACTTGTCTTAATCTCATGTTTACTTGGTCTTCAAGTCCTACTTGACTTAGGATTCCAACACACAGATCATCACCCATACTCGATATATGCCTGTCTATTCGATAAAACATTTTGACTTAATTATACCAAATTCAAATTAGGTTAATATCCGTCATGTATGTATTTTAACATATCTCATATAGGATGATATATATAGGAGGAAGGTAAAACAATGCAAAAACACTTTTTTTATACAAATAAAGTTGATTCTAAACGCCCTCTTAGGATTTAATTTCTGTGAACCGTAAAATTGGAAAATCCTAAGAGAATTATTAGCGAAACATGTATATAAATAATTGGAATCATAAGGATTATTATCATGTTCATTTTACTAAAGGAAAAAGACAACTTTCAATATTTAAATATTATATTTTTTTTATTGTTTTATATAAATTTCATATACTAATTTTTTTAGTATATATAAATTTAAATTTTCAAAAACCCATGTAATTAATCATGCATGCTCTAAAGTATATGAAATTTAATTAGCATATAAACATTGTTATATAATAAATAGTTGATGAAAAATAATATCTAAAACCTTACCTCCTTACAATTCTATTAAATATAAACTAAGGCTTAATATTTGAGTGCAGTTTTATTATAAAATGAAGTTTTATGCGTCACGATCAAACATAATACTTTTAGCCATTTATTTACAATGCGTTTTGCATAATACTATTGGATTACAAACGAGCTGAATTGGGTCTTGTCTGACTCGAACTCAACTCGTGTAAAAAACTCGAAGACTAAAACTCGACTTTAGCTCGACCGAGCCTTAATTTCAAGTTTGAGCTTCAGTTTGACCAACTAATCAATACTTTCAAGTTCACCTCGACTTTACTCGATTATGTACTGATTACCTCAAATTTGAAATACAAATATGATTAAGCTCGTGGGATTTGGCTCGACTAAGCTTGGTTATATAATATATGAATAAAATAAGTGTATAAGTCTGACTAATTTCATTTAATTATATGAACTTCAGGAGCTATGTATTTTGATACTCGAATTAGAGTTAAATAGAGTCAGACCCGTGTATCTCATAAGTTGTCTTGACTCGGTTGGTTTCTTGGAACTACACTTCACGGCTCCGGTCAATCTTTTTTTTTTTTTTTAACAACAAAAAGGTTTTTATTTCAAAAACTAAGCTAGTGATTGGCTAGAAGAAAATTACAAGCATACTTAGTACACCAATCAAGCCATTTGATTTGATTATCTTTTCTACTTCTATTTTTAAGCCAAAAATAAGCATACAATTGCACTTCACTCGCTAAGATTTTGGCCTACTTAACCTTGTTGTTGAAGATATGATCATTCCTATAACACCAAAGGACCCAAATGAGAGCAAAGATAACAACAGACTTCACACCCCCATCATGGTTCTGCATAATGAACCAGAAGTGATATCAAACATCTCATCGATCAACTGTGGATTGATTGGGATAACCGGTCACCAAAAGTTTGTACTTCCTTTACAATAGAACATTCCAAAAACAGGTGACGGAAACTAAAACCAAACCACTATCGGGACATGAATTGTAGTTGTGGAGGTGTTTGTTATATGAGAGAAGAAATCATGAATGTATATGACGACATTGAGAAGGTGCAATATGACAATAAACTTCTGATAATTCTGTTTCACTTGTTTGGAATTGTGTTTACAATCTTATGGAAGAATATGCATGCTCTCTGCCTCTCTATCAACTTGACAATGACCATAATCAGAGCATAAACTAGAGAAAATAAAGTGATAAAAATAAGAGAAGACCAATGAAAAAACATAGAATGACAATCCCCCCGATAGCTTCTTCTCCAGTCGTTGGAAAATCCGGCATGTCTTTAAAGTAGCTTGAAAGAACTCCTGTGTAATCAAATGCATCCACAAATACCAGCTTTCGCATTGTTCCAGGCCTCAAATCCTTTATCATTAACAAAAAAAAAAATATAGAATTTTCTATGCCGCATGAAATTGGAAAAAAAAAAAAAAAACATTAAAGTGACAAACATGTTTACTTGGTAGAGAGTTTGAGTCATGACTTTGGCATTAGAGGGAACTCGTACAACAAGTAAGCATCCAAGCCTGTTTGGGTAATGATCTTGAAGAAGAGCCACACATGATTTAAATGTTTGTAGCGGGAATTCAAACGGGGATAGTCTAGAACAATCTAACAAAACAGTAATATGAGGATTTTCCGGATGAACCAAATTTACAACCCCGTATTCCACCTGTGAAACTGATATATAAAATATATATGGTTTCAAACATTTGATTAAACACCAAAATAAATTGCACGAAATATTACTACCAATAAAGATAATGAAATAGAAAAAACATAGAAAAGTTATGAAATTAAATTGAGCGAAATATTACTGCATTAATTGCATACCGACTGCTCTAGCAAACTCTAATTGGTCATCTGAATCCAAAGTAGAACCTGCGAGTCCAATCCGTACAACGAGGGTAGGTCGTTGCATTACATCGGATCCATGCCAAAATACCAAATTGCCCCAGGCGTCAAGTTCTTGTTGTGAAAGCATAATGTATTTACGCCTCCATTGAATGGTCTTTTCAACCGATGATAAAAACTTTGCAAAGTCACTACCAGAGGCATCATGGAATCTACGAAGTTCATCCTCGTTAAGCCTACATCAATCATCCGGTTTTAGAATTAATGCATAATTCTTGTCAGTTGAATAAATTGGGTGAAAAAAAAAAGTGAGAACATTGTTCCATAAATATAAATAACTGAGAGTACCTCTCTGGTATAGTAATACCCTTCTCTTCAAGCTCTGAATAGAGTGACACCAACCAATCTTCCATAACACTCATGAAACTGCATAAATAAACTCTTTAAATAACCAAAAGTGGTCTAAAGAAAAGGCTTTACACAAATAACTACTCATTTGGGCATTTGTATTTATCGAACATTTATTTACCTTCTACACCTTAAATTATCAATTGCTTCTTACATTCCCATTCTTAGTTTTCACAACATTCACCATTTTCTTTATAATCCACTTTTACTTAATTAAATAGCAGCCGTCCATTTTGGACAACCTTGCAAATTAACAATTTCAAATATCCTCAAATTTAAGGGATTTTAGAGTGAATTTCTTTCTATTGAAGGGAGGATTATTCAAAACAACAAGGGACAGCTTGATTGAAATAATCATTAAAAAGATTGTCCATCCAATCGATTGACCTTCAAAAAAATAACACGTAATTGATTGCTCTTTGAGGCTATTGAAAAAGTGAAAAAGGTACATATATAAATACATCAAAAATTACTCCACTGTACAAAGGTACAATACGACATGCATATAAACAAAGGTTATATTATAATTAATAACAGATTTAGCCACTCCAAAATTATAATAATAACAATAACATATGTTTATGTACAAAATCACTACAAATCTACAATATCCATTCATAAAGAGAATCTATTCTTGATACTTCTAATCTTTGTGAAAAATTGCCTATAAAGTGAATATTAGAATGGTAGTACGATCTTCAAAGTAAACGAAAGATTAAAAAAAAAAAAGCAAATAACCCTCATTTGGCAGATCAAGCTGGAACATAGTTGAGTTCAATCAATAATCAAAAAATAAGGTAGGATTATGAAGTTGGTGTTTCAACCTATAAAACAATGAATTATTGATATACTTACAGCAACTCAGTCGCGGAGCGCCCTAACAATGAATTTGGCGACCAACGAAAGAGATAGCAACGAGAAATACTATTCAGTTAATATCGAGATTTTTGGAATAAATCAATTTTTTGGATGAGCGTTTCCTAATTCGAAGGATGGCGTTTCCTAAATTGATATAAAGATTCTTGGACTAAATTGATTTTTTGGAATGAGCGTTTCTTAAGTCGATATCGAGATTCTTGGGATAATTTTGGCGGTGCTTCGTTGACCCCATTCTTTTTTTGGGATAATGACTTGAAAGAGTAACATACTATTTTATTTTGTCACATTTGGTCACTAAACTTTTTTTTTTGCTCTAATAGGCATTTAACTTGTTCATTCGTGTAAATGTCACCCCTACGACTGCTTTTTGCCGGTTTCAATGGACAGGTCCATCCTACGTGCCAGTAAGATCCTACGTGGCATGTAAGGCTATGTTATTAAAAGAGGGGTGTATGCGGTTCCTTGATTGTGCCCTAATACCCCCGATGGCTTCCTCCTACAGCTTCTCATCATCCCTCAATCGATCAAGCAAGAAATCAACTGCGCACGATACAAAAACTTGTGATTGTGGGTTCCCTGCACGTATTCTAACATCAAAAACACCAAAGAATCCAGGGAGGCATTTCATGGTGTGTAATGAGGTAAACTATTTCACTTGAATCTTCTCCCTTTTCTAATTCTTTTTTCCTAATTTGAAATCTCATTATGAGTTATTTGTGTTGTAGGGTAAATGCAAATATTGGAAATGGTTGGATGTAGAACCTGTAGAAATGCCTCTAATGGAAGTGGTGGAGGGAATGAAAGTTGAATTAGTAGCATTAAAGACCGAAGTAGAGAAGGTGAAGGAAGACATGGAACAAATGAAGAAGGAAAAGTACTCTGATGCCATTGCAATGAAGGAAAAAATATATAAGTTTACCATAGGATTTCTTTTTTTGATCATTGTGTATATGATGTGAATGATGTATTGAAAGATGTTGTTTGAATGGAATGAATGTATTATCTTAACTTCTTGTTGGAATGGAATGAAGTAATTTTGATTGGAATGGAATCATAAAGTAGTAATTTTGACTGGAATGGAATCACAAAGTAGTAATTTTGACTGGAATGGAATCACAAAGTAGTAATTTTGACTGGAATGGAATCACAAAGTAGTAATTTTGACTGGAATGAAGGCATATATGTACAATTAATAGCATTACACATCAAAGACATCTTTCTAACTCCAGTCAAAAGCTTAGCTAATTCCAGTCAACATCTTAGCTAATATGACCATAATCTTTCATAATGCTCAATTAGACTTCCTTCAATTAATAACATTACACATCAAGATGTTTAAATAACTTGTAACAGACTAGAAAATAGGAATTGACGAAACTACCCTTGGTAGTCAAAACTGGTTAACTGTCATATTTCAGTTAATAACATTACACATCAAGATGTTTAAATAACTTGTAACAGATTAGAAAATAGGAATTGACGAAACTACCCTTGGTAGTCAAAACTAGTTAACTGTCATATTATCTAACAATATAGTATTCCATTCTTTGACTGTAATGGAATCATTGAGACAATAATGCATAGAAATAAGAAGAAACTAGTTTAATACGGTGGTTGAATTCATTGCAAATACTCCATCAATATTCTAAATTAAATAAAGGGTGAATAGTTGTCTGCATACACAAAAGATAGGACAAAAGATTCCTCCTAGGGACCACAAAAGAAGGGCCACCATGTGCCCACAAACCCAAAAGAAAAGCATAAATAACACATACTATTGTCTTTACATCACAACTTGATAACAAAAGATGTGCCCACCCACTACCTACACAACTACTTAATTAAGGACTGCCGGGTTCTCTGCACTGCTCCCAACCCCAGGTATGTTCCTCCTCAATGCCATTTTGACAATCCTTTCAGAATAGTTCCTTCGTCCAGTTCTACCAATTGGGGCCCTTCTTGGGACAGGCCTTGCAGCTGGTGGTGGTGGTGGAGGTGGAGGTGGAGGTGGTTGGGCTGCTACTGGTGGTGGTGGTGGAGGTGGTTCGGCTGCTGCTGGTGGTTGACTTGGTCCTGCTCCACTATCCCTGGATGAACTTGGTGCTGCAAAAAAATTGAAGTCTTAAGATTACATATCAAAATGATGTATTATGTTCAGATAATTGGGACATTTACCTGATGTATTTGTTTGCTACTTAGATGGACACTTTTTCTTGTTATGACCTGGTTCCTTGCAAATACTACACTTTATCAAGGATCCCCTTCTTGTCACAGAATGTCTAACTGCTCCACTCAACTCCCTTTCCACTGCATCCCTCTTCCTTTTCACTGATGGCCTACCAGGTAATCTTCTTCTTTTGGGAGGCAAAGGCTTTCAATAAGGAACTTCTTCCCACATATCACTACCATTGAGAGGGTTAATGCTATAATTATAGCATTTTAGATAAGCCTCTTTACTGTATGATTGGGACACATATGTTTCTGCATCTTGATTCAGGGAAGAGATTGCAGCTACTCCATGTAAGCATGGTATCCCTGTAAGTTGCCATATTCTGCATGCACAAGTCTTTGCAATTAGATCTACTCCATATGCTGCATCATGGAACCTAACTTCATACTTTTGATAACCACAAGGAGTAACCCCCCACAATCTGTATAAGGCAATAATGACTACAAATTAATAACTAATAACACAAACTAATACTTGGATAGATGAATTGTAAAACTACATGTTACCTCTTTTTAACCTTCAAATCTTGTATACGCTTCCTAATACTTGGACAGATATTCAAATCCCATTCAATTCCTTCTACTCTAAGAGTGTATATCCTCTCCATCACAAATATCCTAATCTCCTCTAGCATAGTGATGATTGGTTTCCTTCTAGCATGCCTAATAGCAGAATTGAAACTCTCACTCACCCCATTCTCAACTGCATCACAATCTCTGCCCTCTTTAAAAAATGCCTTAGACCAGCTACTAGGATCTCTGTCCATAAGGTACTGATATGCTTGAGTATCTAAAGATTTGATGTTTTCCATTACATGTTTGAACTTATGTTCAGTACTAGCTCTAACAGCCCTCCAAAAAAGCTTCCTGAAATGTTGACCGGTAAACCTTTTAGTAAAATTAGCCACAATGTGCCTGGCACATTGTCTGTGTTCAGCTTCTGGACACCTTTCTTTTACTGCTTGTAGCAACCCCTACAAATAACAACAACAAAATTAATGAAACATGCATAAAAACATATGTATAAATATGAACCAATGCTCACCTTGTGTCCATCAGAAAGAAGGGTAATGCCTGCACCAAGACCACCATCAATATCATCCATGAGAAGATCTATGAACCACTTCCATGTGGCCTTGTTCTCAACTCCAACTACAGCCCATGCTATAGGGTAGATTTGGTTGTTTGCATCCCTCCCTACAGCTGCCAAAACTTCTCCCCTCACAATACCCTTTAGAAAGCAACCATCAAGGCCAATCACAGGCCTGCACCCTTCCTTCCAACCATCACTTATAGCTTTAAAGCAGACATAGTACTTAGAAAAAAAAGTTGTGGAATCTGGCATGATGTCTACATCCATCCTCACAGTAGACCCAGGGTTTGTCCTCAGAATTTCATGACCATATGACCATAATCTCCCATAATGTTCAATTAGACTTCCTTCAATTTCTTGTAATGCAAATTTCTTTGCATTTCTGCATTGCCCCTCACTCACATTTATATTGAATGTTGTTGAAACTTTAGCTTTCATCTTCTTAACACTGATTTTTGGCTTCTCTATAATTTCACTCATAAACTGTTTTCCTAACCACTTATAAGTTACTATAGACCCAAACTTAAACACCCTGCTACAATTATGTTCACTAACTAAAGATTTTATTTGAAAAGTCCTCTCTTTACTCATCCAAGAGGCCCAAAGTCTAAATGGACAATTAGGTGACTTGTTTTTTTTGCAACACTTAACTAACAACCTTTGGGAGTCATTTTTTTCAAACCAGAGATCATATCCACCAGCAACTGCATAGTTGCTCAACATGTTTTTAAGCTCATCAGGGTTAGAAAATCGCATACCTAACACTGGTTTCATCTGATTCCATGGTTGTCTATCATCATGTACAGGGTATCGAGGTTCAACATATTCAACATCTTCATCTAATGTGTCTACACAAAGTTTGTTTAAGAACCTGTCACCCTTGGTTTTGTTGGCTGGGAATGGATATTCAACATCATCTTCTTCATGGTCAACAGAATAAGTCTCCGAGAATACTGAGTCTTCATCCTCTTCACAGCTGTAGTCTTGATCTTCATTTTCCTCATCCTCAATCCATTCGAAGATTGGTTCATTACAGTGGTCCACATACACATTCATTCTCCTCTCATTTGCATAAGCCAAATCCAAAAATTCTTTGTAATCACCGTCATTCACCAGTGTATGAATTCCCTGACTTAAAGACTCTTGTGGAAGGCAAAAGTAAATGTCTTTGCTTCTAGTTCTGGTGAGCTTTTGAAGGAATTCCATGAACTCCTCGTACTCAAATGCACTGAAGTCAACATCTCCTACTGATTGTTTGTCGGGATCAAAGTATACTAATGGGTTGGGTGCAAACGCTCCATTATAGTGGAAATCCACTACAATGAAGTTTCGATCAATGGGACATTGAGATGAAGCCATTACAGAGACCGATTGAATATTGAAGGAGAAAAAATCGGGGGTTAATGAGACTTGGTGCCCTAATCGAATTTAAGGACCAAACGAGACTTCACTCTTACCTTTAATGAGGATGGGAAGCAAATCGGGGCCTACATGCCATCTCATTGGCCACCTAGGAAAAAAAAAGCCACATCAGCCCCATGCAATCGTTGAAACCGGCTATAATCAGTCATAGGGGGAAATTTTACACGAATGAACAAGTTAAATGGCGATTAAAGCACGAAAAAAAGTTTAGTGACCAAATGTGACAAAATGGAATAGTATGTTACCCTCTCAAGTCATTTTCCCTCTTTTTTTTTTGGAATGTATAACGTAAAAGATTTGGGACTTTTGGTATATTTTTATAAGAAAAAGAAACTTAGTTGCGTTTCATTTAAAAATCTTTATTATTATTATTATTATTATTAATTGCGAGACAAATACATAGGTTAATTTAAAAATAAAAATAAAATATAAAAGTTAAAATATTTGAAAACTTTGAATTTTTAAGAAAAATAATAAACTATTATAATAGAAACTAAAAAGGTTACTCCCGCTACGCGTGGCCAGAAGTTTTCAATATTGTTTCTGAATCGATAAACATTAGGGGTGCAAACGAGCTAAACTACTTGCGAGCTACTCGGGATCGGATCGTTAAAAGCTCGACTCGAAATCGGTTTTCAACGACCCCGAGCCGAGCTCGAGCTTAAAATTAAGCTCGTTTATTAAACGAGCTCGAGCTCGAGCCTATGTCATTAAGCTTGATTATGCTCGCGAACCTAAACGAGCCTTTACATAATATAATTTATTATTATTTATATATATTAAAATAAAAATATATTAGAGGAATTATGGATTTATGGTATTAGTAAACGAGCTTCTTAACGAGCTCGAGCCGAGCTTAAGCTTATTTAGGCACGTCAGATAAAAAACGAGTCGAGCCCGAGCCCGAGCCGAGCTTGGATAATTCGTTACGAGCTCGAGCTCGAGCCTCATATAGCTTAAACGAGTCCGAGCCGAGCCTGGCTAGGCTCGGGCTCGGCTCGGCTCGTTTGCACCCCTAATAAACATGACAGACGTAGAAAATGCAAAGATAAAAAGTCTGGAGTTTGTCCCGGATCGTTTTTTTATGTTTTTATGAAAAAATATAAAAGTTTTGACTGGAAAGATTAGAAGTTTCAAAACGGTTAAAAAATTAAAAGGGTAGGAATTAGCAAATTTTAGAAAATGGATCAAAGTTGTCAAACCATTAAAGTTTTGTGGCCAAACTTCAAATATTAAAAGGTTCCTAAAGTGTAAAAATATTGATTGCAAAGACCAAAAATATCAAAATAGGTAAAAAATGAGGAGCAAAGTGTAGGGACCACTTCTGCCAAAAAAATATCCAGCTTACTATTCCTAAGCTTTATATATATATATATATATATATATATATTAATGTTTTTTATCTTTTAAATTTAAATAATTAATTTAAATTAATAAAAGAAACTAATAATCTTTAATTTTGAGAATTTTGAAATTAAAAGGTAAGTTCATTAATGAAATAAATATCCACTTATTATTATATTTATTGCAATTATTATATTAAAATATTATATGAAATTTAATAAAATAGAAAAACTCATAAAATCACATGTGGAAAAAAGTTAATTATTAATTCAAAATAACCATAAAATGACATTTGGTAAATTAAAAAAGAGTGTGACAAGTGGCAAAAGAACATTTATTTATTAGAGAGGATTATTATTATTATTATTATTATTATTATTAGAATTATTACAATCGTTTATTTGGTTTGGTATTTTTTTTTTTTTTTTTTTCTGAAAAAACAAGAATTTATGTTTTCTAAAACAAGTTGATGGGTATATAATATTATTTTAAAATACACAATAATGATATTTTTTTTTCATATAAAACACCCATTATAAAATATAAATTACTATGTATGATAAAGAATTATTGTGTACGAATCATCTTCTTTTCCAAAACTACAAAGAAGTGAAAATTAATAATTAGTGTTTTTGCACTTTTCCATTTCTAAAATTTCTATTATATATATATATATATATATATATATATATATATATATATATATATATATATATATATATATATATACTCTTTGAGCACACATGGCGGCTAGCGCCATATAATCCAAGAACACGAACCCTTAATTACACCACAAAGAATCCATAAACACATCAATCCACTTGCAAATTCCTTCACTGACATGTTATCACCAAACCCCGCGACGAACAGACCCCAAGTTGGGCTTACATCTCGACCCTAAAAGTTACAAGGTTGCTCACTTCTTTCCCCGAACTTGGAAAATGGAAAGGACAAAATACACACCATGGATAGCAACATACCAAACCATCTCTCAAACACTATATTCCCAACTGCAATACCCATGTCGATCATAATGATCATCCCATTCTTAAGTCTCGCTACTCTAAAACCCAGCCTTGAGCGAAACCTTTGAGACCTCAAACTAACAAGCTCATCAAGGTCCGCTTCAAACAAACCAAATCGATTTCACCACTGGGCCCAAAAACAATTTCCATACCCAACTTAATGCTCGAGTAACCATAACCCAAAGATTGACAGATGCAGAGCCATTGCCACGAATCATGGTATCCAGCCATGCTATCACCCCTGACCAGCCCTTAGAATCCCTGAAGCCCTCCTTGATTCGAGTATGGATCTTGTGCTTCCAATATGGATCTTGTGCTTCCAGTAGTACACTCTAAGGAAACCATTGTTTCCTCATTCAATAACGCAACTAGACGGCTGACCATACACAACTTACCCTACCACTAACTGCCACATGACCCTCCATTGTTGCCAGATGATTATTACATGAATACAATCACATGCCCCACAACTTAAATAATCTTAAGCTAAACGATTCAGTCCTGTAGTGGTTGGACTCAAACAAGAGTTGTATAGTAGGACAAACCTGTAACATCCATAAAATTCATGAAAATTTAAAACTTTTTCAAGCATTCAAAAACCAATGTATATCACAAAATGTTTTCAAAATAATTTCATATCAGAGTATCCCAGAAATCAAAATCATAAAATACGAGGAGGTGCACGATCAAGCCTTTGTCTTCCCACGATCATCTGAAGTACCTGAAACAAAATCCAAAATGTAAGCCCGAAGCTTAGTGAGTTCCCAAAAAATACCAACGCCATACAAACCATAACCATATGATAACAATCAAACAACATACATATAGAGTCTAGAGTATGACTGGACCGCCCTCACCGAGCCTTCAGTCTATCTGGCCTACTCTCAGAACCTTCAGCATGTCTGGTCCGTCGTCCCGGACCTTCAGCCTGTCAAGACCGTTCTTCGGGCCTTCGCTTGACTGATACAACCTAACGGGTTTGCAGTCTATTCGGTTTCGGACTGAGTTTGTTGGCTTAGAGCACGAAGCAGGACCGCCTCAACCCAACCACACATATACAAGCAACATATAAATATCATATGCTAGCTAACATGCATACAAAGTCAAACCGATCTAATGATCACTAATCATAGCATCGTCCTATATACCAGGATACCGACCTAACATGTCACTAACATAATATCATCCTATATATCATGATACCGACCTCACATTGAGATGTTGATCAGGTAATTGTTTCGGGTTTCAGGTAATTCGGGTTTTCCATGTTACAAAAATACCCGTTACCCGACCCAAATTAAATTCGGGTAATTCGGGTTTGGGTAATTCAGGTATTACCCGAAATATATATATATTTTTAATTTCACTTGAAAATAAATTTAATGAAATAAATATGTCGTGCTTTATTAGTCTTGTTTATATAAACAAACGAGACATAAACGAAGTTACTCAAGCTTTAAACATTGAGATTTTTTTTTTGGTATCTGATTTACCATTAAACTTGTTGTAGGTGCTCACAGAAACCATTGAAATCGACTATTGAAGGTTTCCGACAATTTCGTATCTCCAATGACTCTCCGGTCGTCTTCTCCAGCGACCCTCCGGCAATGAGTTTTCCGACGGATCCTTGGGTCTCAGTTGGATGACTTACAGCAGCAAGAAACATGAGGTGGTGATGGTGGTTTACCAATGACAAAAGGGAGGTGGTAGGTGGGTTCCAATGATGGCAGGTGGCTTGCTTCCTGGTCCCTTCTTTGTTTTTCTGACAACAAATCGACAGAGGGGAGAGAATGGAGGGTGGAGAAAGCTAAGCAGCAGCACCGTCGGTGGGTGTCGCTTGGATGGCAGTTGAGAAAAGTCCGCTTCATTTTTGCCGGATGCTCACTAGAGAGTCGCCGGAGATAAGAAATTACTGAGAACCCTACAATATCCGGTTTCAGTGGTAAATTGCCGGAAGCCTTCAATAGTTGGTTTCTGTGAACACTTACAACAAGTTCAATGGTAAATGAGATATAAAAAAAATTGAACAAATAAATACAAAAACAACAATTAATTACCCCTCATAAGTCATTTTCCCTTATTTTTTTTAGAATGGGATCTTGACTTTTACCTAGAAGGAGAAACACATGCATGGTACAATCTAAAATATAGGTTATAATATTATTTCAAAAAATATTTTGGATATACTCAAAATTTTAAATCCAAATATTATACCCGACCTAATGTATTATTGGGTTACCCGAATATCCGCATTTTAATACACGAATTCAAAACAGACCGGTTACGTCGAGTCGACGACACCATCCAAGGACAATTGGTTAACATATAATAATTACCTATTGTGGATCAAACATGCAAAAACAATTTTCAACCTATTAAACCCGTTCACCGAATGTAAGTGTAGGGACTAAATATGTGGTCAACTAGCCTATTTACCATCACTAGAACTTTGTTTATAAGCTTGTGAATTGTGATCGTGTTAGACTCTGTTTTCTCCCAACGGCGCTCCAGTGTAGCGACTCAAGTCAATCTTTCAGTTTCCGTTTTGTTCAACTGATAAAGCTTCCA